CATTAAGTACTAAGTGTATTTTAAATAACTCTGCTTGTTGCAGTCGACACAATCTATAGAGATCATGAAGAAGAAGATAAATGATTTTAAGGTCAGTCATGACTCATGATCATGTAGGGCTGGTTAAATCTTCTAAGACCACTTATTTTTATTTAAATGGAAAACCACATTATATTTATTTCCTTCTAGGATTTTGGAAAAAGCAGGTGGGATTAAGTTTTTTTTAAAACACTGTATATGTAAATGGAAAATAAACAAGTCTTTCATCTTGAATGGGCACCTGACAGAATGTTGTTATGATGGGTTGGTGATTACAGCCAGAACTGAGGGAAATGGATGTGAAATTCCTTGAAAATGAGCTCCAAGCAATTTCAGCAGATAAGGTTGAACTGGCTGAGTATGTGCAGTCTTTACAACTCCAGATTGTGAAACTGAAGGTAAGCATGTTTTATCCAGTGTTTCTTTACCTGGTGGGATTTTTTGAGCTTGAAACGAAGGTCATATTATGACCCGAAGTACCTACGTGTTGAGTGTTACTTCAAAGTCCCACATCGGTGGGATAGGAAAATTGAGGAGGGATTGGAGCCTATAAATAAAGAGGGGATATAGGCTTCCATCACACAACACAATCCTTCAATCTATATAATTGTGTATTAGATTTTAGGTTGTGAGTGTTAAATATTGGAGAGGGTTTGTAATTTTTCCGTGCAAAAATTACTAGTGAGATTTTATCCCAGAGGGGGTCGTGGAGTAGGTCTTGAGGTGCCGAACCACGTTAAAAATTTTGTGTGCTCTTTTCTTTTCTTTCCATTTGTTTGGAGTGGGGACCTAACACTACGGTGCTCTGTTGGTAAAATTGATAGTTCCTACCTCCCAGCCACCCCTGCCCCCCAGATTGCCGTTTTGGGCTGCCCAAATCGACAATCTAGGGGGGTGGGGGCTGGAGTGGGTGCAGGGGGGTTGGGGGGTAGGAACTATTAATTTTACCAATAGAGCACCGTCAGTGGCGGAGGCAGGATCAAATCCTCGCGGGGGCACAATTACGGTCATCAGGAAGCAAAAATTCATTTTAAAAATACAGAGTAACAAAAAATTCTAATAATAGTACCAAATTTAATAGGAGCTAAAAATCATCAAGTATACTTGTTTTATAATGTATTTGTTGGTTGAACTAAATTTTAACACTCATCTTATTAAACTCTTTTTTTTTCACTCCCTCTGTCACAAAATATTTCCATCTTTTCTTTTTTCAATTTTCATCAATCCCGAAATAATTCTCACTTTTTACAACTCTGTATTAAACATCTTTTCTTAATCTCCGTGAAGTCAAACGGGGCAAATTATTTTGGGAAGGAGTATTAAAACATGATGAAAATGAGCTTCTTTGGTTCAAATTGTGCTCTTTGTTTTTGGGAGGAAATAAAGTTTTCAATTATGCTGAAATCTGAATTTAAAACATTTCAGGACATTTCGCACACGATCAACTGTTCCTGTGGAGAGGAGTACAAGATTGAATTGGATTGTGAGATTGACCATGCTACCCTTCAACACTAGTTACTCTTTCTTTGCAAGAAAACTGAAACATAGGAGTTCAAAATGGATATGCTTATTCCTCTCTTCCTTATACATTTGCGTATATATAGTTAAATGAAAAAAGCATACACTAAGTTCGTACCACAACTTGCATACCAAGTGTATCGCAATGAATCTTATAGACAATTGTTATGTGTGTGTCTCTGAGACGCTTGGTGTACAAGTTGAAGTACAAACTTAGTGTACCTCTAGCACACCTCTAGTCCCTTTTGTATCTTACTTATGTATCTTAAGTCTCAAGTGTATCTTCAACGGCTTTGAATTCATAACGAATCTTTTCACACGGGTAAATTTCACCAATGGTACCTGAACTTTAGCTGGAATTTCGAAGTGGTACCTGAACTTCAAATCCTTTCACAAAAATCCCTGAACTTACACAATCCTTTCACTAATGAGCCATTAGCCCGTTTCTAGGTTAACTTCCGGTCATTAGGGCCAAATTCGAATTTTATATATTTTAAAATTTTCAATTTGACCCCATTTCTTCTTTTCTTTTCTTCCAGGCCCCGCCGCCGCCGCCCGCCGGTCAAAGTCGCCGGAAAATGAA